TTTTGTCTTTTGGCTAATAGTACTGGGCTTGAACTCTAGGCCTTGAGCTCTTGCTTGGCTTTTTCTTACACAATTGGCACTATTTGATAATATTTGAGCCGTGTTTGTACTTCAGCTTTTTGTTGGTTAATTAAAGATAAGAGTGTGTTTGTGTTGCCTGCCCAGGTTGGCTCTGAAGCTTGATTCTCGAATCTCAGCCTTCAGAGTCGTTATGATTATAGGCATGAGTCACTGGCACTGCTTTGGTATATGTAGATTTTTATTTATTTATTTTTTTTTGGTTTGTTACTTCAGAAGTTACTGTTCTCAGCTTATGATAGGGTCACAGAGTGACTGCTTTCCATTTTTGTTTGATTTGACCAGCACAGTGTTTTAGATTACTTTGGGTGAGACTTATACTCTCTAGCTTACTACAAATAAAATTTGTAAAATACACTGCGCACATGTGTGCCCGCACGCACACATATACACACACTTATATGTAGTAAATTCTATGGAATTGTTTATATAGAATTTGTTTACATAGTCCATAGTACTGGTACTCTCATTTATTACTGTATACTGTACTTTATACTTTGCAGTGCTTACTCAACTGACCTTTGAAGGCACTGGAGTTTAAGATCTCTATAAGTCCTTTTCATTTCACTTTTTTGAAGGTGTTTCCCTCCCAGATGATGACCCAGAGGCTGGCCAGGGGAGCAAGTTTTGCTTAGTGGCCATTGGCAGATTGCAGGCAAGTGTGAATTTTCCATATTTATATCCCTTATCAATTAGAATAAATTTCCTTTAGAGAGTATATTCCTTCCATTCCCTCCTTTCCTTTTCTTTCTCCTCCTCTTCTCTCTCTCACTCTTTTTCCTCTCTCTATCCTTCCATCTCCCCCTCCCTCCGTCTAGCATTCTTTCCCTCCCTCCCTCCTTTTCTCCCTTGCTCCCTTTCTTCATTCTTACCTTCCTTGTACTGGGATTTGAACTCAAGGCCTTGCATTTACTGGACAAGCATTGTACCACTTGAAACACATCTCCAGTTGATGTTTATTTTCTTTTACTCTCCAAAAACAAGGATATGGGCTGGGAAGGTGGCTCAGTGGTAGAGTGCTTGCCTTGCATGC